TACGGGGGGAATTGAAATGAATTTTGGTTGATTGGTTGCGTCCATCGCGGCTCCCCCTATTTGTTTTCTAATAAAATACCATTGCACGAACGGTCTCTATTATTTTTCACGAGCCATAACCAACCAAGTTCCCTTGCACTAAGCGAAGGCGACACACCCGATCGCTTGCTTTTTCAGGCGACTCACCCAGAAGAGCACGTGCAGACGGAACTTTGGTCGTTGTTTAGCTTTGTTTTGAATCACCCAAAGAATAAGTTCAATTACGAATTCTAAGCGTCTAGTTGACTTAATACAATCTTAGCAAGTCCCAAACAAAAGAAAAATATATTTGGCAAATCGTTTTCCAAGACTATTTTACCTTATAAACTTTCCTAAGGCCTCGTTTTTTTACAGAAAGATTCATTTAATATACACGTTTTACAAAGTCTTCTTGCACTAAGCGAAGGCGACTCACCCGATCGCTCGCTTTTAATTAGGCGACACACCCAACATAAAAGCACGTACAGAATACCCTGAACCATGTTCATGAATTTGTTTTCGGTGAATTATATCAAAGCTCTCTGCTCGTGAAAAATAATAGAGACCGTTTGCGCAGTCTTATTTTATTAAAAAAACAAATAGGGGTGAACCGCGATGGACACAACCAATCAACCAAAACTCATTTCGATTCCTCCGTAAAAATTTTTTAAAAGAAAAAGAAAGCTACTTAGATTTAGGGCCTTACAAATGACGAGCAAATTTAACACTCAACCCCGGCTCTCTGTGAAGTACCTTAGGTAGGTCGGTAGGGGTATGGGTAACACGAGCGTCTGATATTTTTAACCCGTTTCATTTCATTTTTGATCAAAATAAAAAGCTTTTATGAGTTTTATACTTGGAATAGCCCTTATTAATTGCTTTGTAGCGCAATTTGCTACTAGTGGGAGTCATATCCGCCTATTCGATACTAGGAAAACGATTATTTTCATAGGCAGAGCTCCGTCCGGCTGTGTTGAGAACGCATGCAACAACGCAATATTACGCGATAATTACTGGCCTTATTGTTGTGCAAAGAGTGTTTTAACTGAAGATAATTTTCTCATTAATTGAAACAAAGATCTGAGATTGAAGTGACAACTATAAATCGCACTGGATCATGATGAAGCATTAAACATCGGCAACAAGCAAAACAGTTGAAAAAAGATCAGAGATATAGCAATTTGGCCACTACGTGTGTATGTGTATTATAAAACACGGACGTCTATAATTTTCAACACTTTCCTTTGTTTATCAAGAAAATGTCGCACGAAATTAATAGAGCTTTTCGACTTCTTTATTAGGGTACTTTTTGTAGACAAAATTGCCTCCAGTGGAAGTTGTGCTGGGCCTGTTTCTTTCTAAACACGAGCCGTGCGATCGAGAGCGCCACATTAAATTTGGCGGGCATTTAGGAGGTTTTGGCGCGGATATGTTCAAAGCATAAATAAATTAATTAAAGGAAAAAAATCGAACACTGTGCTTACCTTCAAGGAGTCTTACGATTAATCAAGTCATTATACAAACCAGAATTAATGTGTCCCAAGGTAAACCTACTGATCTAAGGCTGAATTGGCCTCGCATTTGAACCAATGTGAAGAAGGAAGGCTGGCCGTCTCCGGGTTTCAGAAGAGAAGCTTGAATTCTCCTAACATGTCTGATCTGTTTAAATGTTCTTGAAATACCAATCGCTTCTAAGGGAAGCGATTTTGATCGCGAATCAACACAGAAATTCTCTACCAGGAAACGGCAAAAAGTAACCCACATATACTCCATACAATGATGGCTTGATCGGGCTGATCCGATCCGGAGAATAGTTGAAAAGACCGCACTCGACTTTTATTTACATGTATTTACCCCGCCTAGTATTGTTTTAACCATATTAACAGACAGTTGCGAAATTTAGCATTGTTTCATCGCCTCTGTGAAGATCACTACCGATGACAGCTAATCCGACCCCTGCTAACATGCACGAGGTCGGAGGTAAAATTCTAACAGGAAATTGAGTATAGCAACCGTCACTCAAGATAATTAGAAAAGGGACTTTACGCGGCTCCTCATGTAAATAGGCGTGGCAAAGGCTTAAAAACAGTCATATCATATTTTTCCCTATACCTTGTTTCCCTTATTCTTTTCTGACTCTCTATAACTTCGCGTGGTTTTTGCGATAACGTATTTTTGGTTAGGATATTAACAATTATCACAATTCAGCCGTTCGAGAAGGTTGTTGTCCACCGCCGACCGTTAGTCTGAATACAGCTGGTTTTGAAGAGTTTGCCAAGGGTCGAAGCCAATCGGAAACGGAGAAATATTTGAATGAATAATAAAATTATTTATTTAAACAAAATTGAGTTACATAACCACTGCACAAAACTTGCTTTTATTGCCAATAACAAATTAGATGCCGCCATTTTTATGATTCGCTAAGAAAGCCGACTGCATACAGACCTGTTCAGTTCGCGATTTTACCTGGTAAGTTGAAGCTATTGTCAATTTTTTTTTTCGACTTCTTCATTGTTAAACTTTCCATTCTATTAATTATCAAGCCTTGAAAATATTGATTCTTCTACAGTTTCAATATTCACTGGCAAATTGTTACTATTGTCGCGATGTCAGACTTCTAACCACAAGATATTATAAAATATTCAGTCACTACGATCATTCATATTCATTTGTTTTAATAACGTACTTGTCTCAAGAAGGTTTATGAAAAAATATCTCCAGGGGGTATAATTTGGCCGAAATCTGTTTTCATTCTGTCAACCTTGGGGCTTTAATTAAATTTGCACTCTTCCTCAAAAATTGTGAGCCAGCATAATGTTTTAAGGGCAAAAATACATTTTCAGTTCAGGACACATGTTGCCGTATGGTGATACATATAAAAGAAGGGTCTGGTCAATTATAACTCTGAAACAAATTATATATCAGCTACCTGAGTAGTTAAAATTAAACAACTCATAAACACTTGGCGCGTATCATTTCATCTCAAATGCTTTTAACATTCTATTTCATGTTGATTCTGATGTGATGCCATTTCGTAATAGTTAAGTGCTTATACTGAAACTTTTCACCGAACACTAGTTTTGAGAGAAAAGAACGAAAAACAACAGAAAATCCTTTTTACCTCTTGATAAATTGCCAATAACAAATTTAGTCTATTTATTAGTAAGTTCTAATTTTTATCATCAGAGGTAATTTAAAGTTTGACTTCTAATTAAAAGTATTTTGAATATAGTCTTCAAATACAGCTCACCGGTGTACAGAACGCGTCACTTGCTTGGAACCGTCAAGGAGAATTTTCCACGGCTCAATCAGAACCTAAGCAATATTAGCAAAAAGGAGATCGCAACATGAACCCTGTGTTGGAGAGAAAGCCCTGGGATGTTCACAGTGGAATTTTTGCTGTTTCTGCCGTGTGTTTAGGTAAGCGGACTACGGCCGTGAACGGCAAAAGAAAAGGCAGCTTGTTATATTCAATCGTGTCTTCCACAGAATTTTAAGATAAATTACTGTCAGTGAATATTTTGATAAAACGATATGAAGATCTTAATCTTAAAAACCAATTGAAAATACACCAGTTCTTAGTCTGGGACAGTGTTTTATTTTTTTAGGAGGGAGATCAGTTGATCTTGAGCAGTACCCTTCGTGGCATAACGAATAACAGTCAAAGCATCATTTATTCAAGTCTTTCGTTAGATGAATGTATAATGAATGAATTGTGACTGGGGTGTTTATAAAAACAAAACAAAAAGCAGAAATAACTTCCCTGTTTTAAGCGAAAACATGTTTCCTCCAACTATAAACGTTTTGGAAGATATACTTCTAACCGACTTTATGCTAAACTTTAACCTATTTTCAACGTTAATTACAGCCTTTTGGATGACGTCTGATCTTCGGATCGCCACGTAGAAAACAAACTCCGCGAAAATTATAAAAGGAAATTTCGCGAACCTAACTGAATTGTGATTTACTAGAAAAATCTGGACAATTAGAAGTTAAGAAGAACGTACTTAATTAAAAAAAAAGTCCATTTTGGAATTAATAAAATTCATGTACTTTACTTAATACAGAGACATTGCGATGCTATATTTACGGATGTTTGAAGTCTGGATATAATTTTAGGATGTCTGCCATTGAATCTGCAGGGTTAAAACGAACAGCAAATTATATTTATTTTGCAAGATTTTGGCACGAAGACTTAATAATTGTACGTAAACAAGATCTTTAATCCCAGAATACAAAGCCTTGAGGGAAACTACGTTGCTCTAAAGATATATTTGCTCAAATATATATCTTTCTCGGGAGGACAGAATTCCATGTAAAACTGTTGACGGGGGTACGATGATCGTCGGAAATTCAAATTAAATCCCAAAGGGAGACCAATGAGGGTGTGGCTCAAGTTTAAACTGACGCCTGAGGGAGATTTCTGTTTGGTCAGTGTCAGGGCATTTTTTGTAAATTTTTTTATGCACGGTACTGAACGATACCTGAGTGGGTAAATATAGTGACTTTCCATCCCAAATACCTAGAGCGAGACGACGAGCATCCCATAGAGTAGTAGCAATGACTAAGCGTAAGGTCAAGATGGCTGGATATTGGCCTCGTTCGTTTTGCGTTTTTACAGACCGAGACGAAGTCGAGATCCATAAAAGGCAAAAATGAATCGGGCCAATATTCGGCCATCTGACGAAACAAGCTTGGTTCGAATAAAGAATTAATTATTTGGCCAAAAAGAAAACTTTTTCTTGCGCCACTTGGGTAGCTAATTAGAACAAGAAACTCGTTTCATCTTGCCCGCTCGCGGGAGGCAGAGGCTACGGGCAGAAAAAAAATTAAAGCCAAAGGACCATTGTTTCACAGGCTTAATCCTGATCATTGGACTTCTTGGCAATGGAATCGTGCTAGCAGTAATCTCAAACTTGCGCCGGCGAGGTCACAAAACGTCCGTTCAGCTCTTCCTCGTTAACTTGGCCGTCTCAGATCTGATGGTGTGTTTGCTGTGCATTCCCCTGACAATCTTCATAAATTTTTATTACCCAAATAAAATAGCCGAAAGAGATGTTGGTTTCTGCAAGCTGGCACGAGTTACGCAGGTAAAGATTTTAATGTACAATGTATTAACCGTAACGATTTCAGAGGACCTGGTGGAGCTGATAGGCGTCACACCACTAATCAAGCAAAATAATTAAAAGTAATGTTTCAGTGAAAACAGTAGTCTGCTACACAGCCGTTTTTAGTGTCGTCACGCAATTAGTGGGGAAGAGCGTTGCGTGACGACTCTAAAAACGGCTGTGTAGCAGACCATGAAAACAGTTAAGATCAAAGCTCTTTAATCTCGCGGGAATAATGTTCCCAGGGCACCAGTTCATTCGTTTCCTAGCGACGCACGTCAACTAGAAGAAGCCTTTTTGCAATATTTAGCAGTAATGTCTCGCCTAAATGTTTCGGCAAGTCCTCTCTACAAGAGCCAAGACACTATAGCTAAACATTACAAATTTCAGCGTCAGCAACGTCAAGAATTAAAAGGGAAAACCGCAGCGCACCTCACTTTCCTTTGATGTGAGTCACCAAAACGCTTTGTTTAAATTTCCACTATATAATTATGCCCCGACAAAGGAAATAAATAGTTGAACCAATCAGAGACAACAAACGGAACTTTCTCCTGCGCCCACTTAGGAAACATCAGTAACAATTAAAGGGACAGTGTCCCGATTATGCGCACGCGCGAGCGTCATCTGTTTTTTCTTCAAAAGACAATAGAACTGTCATATTGACTCGACAAGATTTCCTTCCGGACCGCACCGCCGACAGAGATTTGTTGTTTATATTCTCAAGTAATATTTTAGACTTTCAAAGAAGACTTTCGTCTTGTATAAAAATTTGGCTCGCGGTTCGAAGACTTATCGCGATTTTATCGCTAGCTGGGCCGCCTCGCGACCCGAAAATCTCGTACCGCTCGCTTTAAAAACATATTTTCTAATTTGAAACTCGTGTCAGAGGTCAGTTGTTCCAAGTCTAGTAATATCTGCCTGATTTGCTCGCGTTCTAGCCTCAAACGTTTGAAAGACTTAAATAAAAATGCAATCTCAACGCTATGAATCATCAGAAAGGTTAGTCAAAAATTATATTATGATTTCATGGCACTAGTTTTTCTAAACATGTAGCGCCTGTTTGTTTGATTTTGTCGGCCGTTAGGGAGATTCATTTAAAAAAGTTTACTAACGCGTCGTTGCAAAACATTCTGTTTCACGAAGCTCCCCTCCACAAGATCTCCTCAGTCACATCAATGTCTCAATGGTTTCTTTCTTACAGTCTTTATTGTTGCCGTTTCATTTCTGCGTATTCCTTTCACAATTATCTGAGCTTGTATGGAAGCTAGCAGAAGAAATAAGCCTTCAATCGGCATCAAAGTGCTTCCAATCTTTTGGTCCTCCGGCCAACGGCAATAAAAGTAACGCCACAAAATCCAGATTTTGCCCAAATCGAAACTTAACAGGAACAATATATCATTGATCTGTAATCCTAAGAAGTTTTAGTGTCGTATTGAACCTGGTCAAGCGCGATGCAAACGGATTTTTCAAGGTTCTCTTACTCTCCTCGCATCTTTTGATTTCGAGACATCCTGTCCAAAAATCAAAGTTTGGTGCATGCGCTGTAACGGGATACTGTTCCTTTAATAAACGCGTCTTTTCCTGTCTTCAAAAAAAGTGCAATTTTGTTGCTCATTAATATGTGGGCATGTCCTTTTGTTAATTGCCGGAATTGGTTTGGTCAATAAGTCAGGAGATTTTGAATCGGAAATCTAAAGCCGAATGTCGTGTTCAGTGATTACTGTACAACGTTTTGTAGTGTACATAATTCTTCCAACGAATCCGGTTACTTTTCCGCTAGTGATCATATGAGTTTGCGGTAAAACCAATTGAGAAGAAAATGACGGGCGTAAAAGTTCCCGCTTGAATGTCTCTGGATTTATCGATGTAGGCGAACGCTTGAGAATCCAAATACCCTGAATATATTCAATGTGAAAACACTTATAAATGCGAAAACCACTGGCCTCCAGTGCAAACCTTGCCTGTTATTTTACAGTACGAAATATGGTAATAATATACAACTTTTCGTATCTTCTCCACCTGTAGTCAAACCATATCCACAGTATTGCATATTTACTTTATTCCTTTTCCGTAGCACCTTAACCCTGTAATCTCAGTCAGCCTGATGACAGCAATAAGTATTGATCGATACATGACATTTGTGAAGCAGGAACTAACGTGCATCAATAGATCTTGGTATCTCAGGCCGGCCTGGTTGATCTTCTTTGCTTGGGTATACGGTACAGTTCAATGCCTTCCGATTTTTTATACAAGCAATTTCATTCCTCTTGATTATAATAACAGCACCATCCACTACTGCAGTACTACACACGGCCAGTCTCTTGTTGGGACGATTTACCTCGTTGCCTCAGTCTTACTTGGGTTCGTGATACCTTTAGCAGTCTTAACTATATCATATCGCAGAATTATAAAAGTGATATCGACCAGGGATCGCAGACTTTCTGCGACTGTAGGGGATATATCCAATCCCACAATCACAAATGCCAAGTTGCTGGAAAGGTCCAGGAAGAGAGTTCTTCGCGTCTTGGTGATTGTAGTTGTTTGTTTTGTCGTCTGCTGGTTGCCTTTCGCTGTCTACTTTGGGCTACTGGTGCAGCATCTCAGGGAATTTCCAAACGTTATGGATCCGGTGAGTCTCATAACCTATGGACTGGGCATATCAAACTCAGTCTTTAACCCTTTTATTTACTTCTTCAACGTTTGCGGTAAGTCCTGTCGTTCTATGAGAAGTAGATTTCTTGAGGTAATGGGAAGTAGTCGGGAGAGGACATCACTGGAAAGTGTAGGAACAAGTTCGACCTGTTCAAGGACCGCCTGCGTAGCCGAACAAGACAAGGACATAGTAGAGTTAGATGCAACCTCTCCTTCTCCTGTCCGATGAGACATCGATAATACATGTACAAGAGTTGCATTCGTGAACGAACTTGCAGAGTTTCAAGAAGAAGGTCTGGATACCAAGTTCTCAATCACTGCGTGATTGCACCAGCATCGGCTTCATTAAAGATGTTTTGTTAACTAGGTGCTCTCACATCTGATTGAATTGTATAATATTTAAAAAAAAAGATAACGTACTTTACCGAAACGTGGAATTTGTTATCTTTGGCGGTCATTGTGAATTTTGCGGTCAGCTGGTGGGGGGGGGGGTCTGAAACCGAAAAATCTTCGGAGCCACTCAACAGTTTTCAGACTTTCTCAGATCCGTTCGCAGATTATTCAAATTATTCTTGGTTTCAGGCCCGATCGACAAAAGGGCCACCAAAGAAAACAAATTCCACGCATCGACAAAGTAAGTCATATTTATAAAACAACAATTACAAATATATGATGTGATCAAATGTGTGCCTTCTGTATTTTAAATCAATGATGGTCAAGTGGTTAGAAAATAGAGTTACAGCAGAAGCCTAAAAACGTTACCGTAGCAGAGCATAAAAATAATTATAATTGTATGATCGATTTCAAATATTTATCCGTTTCTGATTGGCATTTATCCGCGGGTTAATATTCAAAATCATTTATTATTCATAACCTGCTGACGCTCACCAAATTTGAAAGATACATTATACCATCATTGACGTCAGTCACTCAGACGAAAATAATTGCCTGAATATGTTATATGGATAATAAAGCAATAATTGATTTCCACTTTCCTATCATAATTAGCAATTACTGGATGAGGCTGAGTATGACCTTAAGAATTATGCAAATCGATGGGCCGACGGCCAAGGTCGCTCACACAGTTTGAGATCTGATAATTCTTCAGGGCATACAAAAGCTGCCTTAAATAATCGTTTTATTGTAGGCGTTCAAAATAATCCATACTTTAAAAACAATCTAAGACATGCGGATCATTACACGTTTCTGGATAACTGCCCACCGACCCCTCCCCTAAGCCAACATTAACACTTACTTCCCACTTAGGGTAGGGATAGGTGGGCAGTTTCCAAGAAAAGTATAATTGCTTACCTTAATCGATGTTGAGTTCCCGTCTGCATTTGCCTGTTCCTTGGCAAATTCGGCAGATTAACAGGATTAAGGTGGCTGAACTTAGATAGCTGTATAAACATATCCATTAAACTATATTTGCTTTTACATGCACTGTTGGCGGTTTTGATACCAGATAGCAATATTAATTTTTTTAAAACTAAACGCCAAAGGTGCCAAGATTATTGAAGCTTCGGTAAAACGGGCAGCAAGAACATACAACTTGTTTTCCAATATTGCTGCAAAACGCCGAGTGGAAAAGCGATCTTTTACCATTCTTGTTCATACTTGTTAACAACTTCGGTGACTCATTGCAAGGCAGGGTTGATGAGGGTGGTAAAACGCGCAACATCGCTATTCAACTCGTTTGGCAGCAACGTTGCAAAACTAGTTGCATGTTTTTTTATGCCTGTTTTATCACACCTTAATGCTAAGTGTTGCTAAGTCAGTGGCGCTCCAACGGTCGCTATGACTACGGGATAGGTACAAGGTGCAAGCGGCAAGGCTCCTGTATAGGTGTAAATTATGCAAATCATCAAATCATACAAAGTCAGTCTTCCGTATCTTAATGACTTCTTAAGGCGGCCCGGACCTATTTATTTGCGTGTTAGTTATGTTTTTGGGTTTTTCGGCAGGAATGCTGATTTAACCGATTTTTATGATTTTTGGCATCGTCAATAAAGAATGGTCGAACTTTAAGAAACTGTTATTTATTTTCTTGTAGGTATAAAAACGTTTGAGATATCGGCATCTGTTTAAAACCACATTTTTACAAAAAATGTCAGTAACTACGAAACCCTAAGACAGATCTTGCTCTAACTTCAGCAAATAAGCCTCAGAGCTCTCTAGTTTTATGTCTGCAAGTGTGAGGTCTATCGTGACCGTAGAACTCGCTGCAAAAATAGCTGGTCAAATTTAACCTTAAAATGCAACGCTAACGCATTTGTGCAATTTGACGCACAAATTTAGAAAAACTGCCGTGTCTGCAAGGGTATTCTAAGCCAAAGCTTTATTATCGCAAGAAACTGAGTAATCATAAACCTACGGCGAATACAGTTCGCAATACACGAAGAACAACTTTATGCTGAACGCGGGGCAAGATTAATGAACACCCATTTATCAAAGTTACCGTGTATTTGCCCTTCTCTTTATAATTTTCGAATGAAAAATCTCAACAAAGCAAGATATAGCATCTACGGAAATCTCCTACCAATTTTTATTACCGAAGGTTCCCGTCTTGAGGAGAAATAAAGCCACCAACCCCAGTTCCTCAACCGATCCATTTTCAGCTGCAATGAAAACCCTTATATTAAGTAATTTATTCAAGCATGTTAGATTTGCCATCACATTCGCAAGAGCAGTTTGTCATTGGGGATAATGAAAAAAATAAGAGGATTGTCATATTTTCTTCATCTTTATCCCCAAGTGACAAAATTCCCGTGCGAATGTGATGTCAAGTCTAAAAAGCTTGAATGAATTACTAAGTACAAAGGCTTTCAGTGCAGCCGAAAAATGGACGGTTAGAAGTACTGGAGTTGGTGGCCTTATTTCTCCTCAAAACGGAAACCTGCGACGCTAAAAACTCTTGAGAGTTTTCCCTAGATGCTATATTTTGCCTTGTTAAAGTAGGTTTCGAAACTAGCAGCCGAGATGCCATCTCGTGCCTCCTACCTTGTGTATTATATTGTATGGAGGTGAAATTGGGCACGTTATCATGAAACTTCGTTTGAGCAATTAGGACAAAAACAACTAACTGCAGAGTAAGTTTCATTGACCTTTATATAGTATTTCCTACAAAATTTAGGATCGTATTTTTACCCCATAAAAACACCGTAATTCTACTGAAACATTACTGTGGTACTATCACAAAGTCTGGGTTACCTGTGTTTACCCTGCAATTGAAATGCATGGAAGCCATAAAAGTGGTAAATAACCATCAAACGCTGATGCAATCACAATCAGCCTAGCATGCAGTGCAGGCGTATTTTGGGCGTGCGAAAGCTGTTTGTTTATGTCGGGTTGGACAGCTGTCATGGCACTTTCGCGAGTAAAAACATTTGCGCGCTCGAAGAAAACGCCCACACCGCAGGTTACCCCAACAGCAATCTCACGCTCTTGCTTAAAACTCAGACTCAAGAAAACTCGAGAAACGCTTTTTCTGTTAAAATCTGCCTTAGTTGCATTTCTTTCACTTTGTTTTTTTTTACTTCTTCATTGTTGAACTTTCCATTCTGTTAATTATCAAGCCTTGAAAATATTGATTCTTCTACAGTTTCAATATTCACTTGCAAATTGTTACTATTGTTGCGATTTCAGACTTCTAGCTACAAGATATTGTAAACTATTCTGTCACTACTATCATTTAGATTTATTTGTTTGAATAACGTACTTGTCTTAACAAGGTCTGTGAAAAATAGCTCCAGGGGTATAATTTGGCCGAAATCTATTCTCATTCTGTCAACCTTGGGGCTTTAATTAAATTTGCACTCTTCCTCAAAAATTGTGAGCCAGTATAATGTTTTAAGGCCCAAAAATATAAATTCAGTTCAGGACACATGTTGCCATATGGTTAAAAGAAGGATCTGGTCAGTTATAACTCTGAAACAAATTATATCAGCTACATGAGTAGTTAAAATGAAGCTGCTGATAGACACCTGGCGGATATCTATTCATCTCAAATGCTTTTAACATTCTATTTCATGTTGATTCTGGTGTGATGCCATTCCGTAATAGTTAAGTGCTTATACTTAAAACTTTTCACCGAATATTAGTTTTGAGATTCGAGAAAAGAACGAAAAACAACAGAAATTCGTTTTTACCTCTTGATAAATTGGCAATAAAAAATTAAGTCTATTTGTTAGTAAGTTCTAATTTTGATCATCAGAGGTCATTTGAAGTTTGACTTTTAAAGTAATTTGAATATAGTCTTCAAATACAACTCACCGGGGTACAGAACGCGTCACTTGCTTGGAACCGTCAAGGAGAATTTTCCACGGCTCAAGCAGAACCTAAACAATTTAGCAAAGAGGTGATCGCAACATGAACCCTGTGTTGGAGAGAAAGCCCTGGGATGTTCACAGTGGAATTTTTGCTGTTTCTGCCGTGTGTTTAGGTAAACGGACTACGGCCGTGAACGGCAAAAGGCAGTTTGTTATATTCATTCGTGTCTTCCACAGAATTTTAAGATAAATTACTGTCAGTGAATATTTTGATAAAACGATATGAAGATCTTAATCTTAAAAACCAATTGAAAATACACTTGTTCTTAGTCTGGCGTAGTTTTTTATATATAAAGGAGGGAGATCAGTTGATCTTGAGCAGTATCCTTCGCAGTATCCTCAGCAGTATCATTTATGCAAGTCTTTAGTTAGATGAATGTATAATGAATTGTGACTGGGGTGTTTACAAAAGCAAAACAAAAAGCAGAAATAATTTTCCTGTTTTAAACGAAAACATGTTTCATCCAACTGTAAACGTTTTGCAAGATATACTTCTAACCGGCTTTATGCTAAACTTTAACCTATTTTCAACATTAATTACAGGCTTTTGGATCACGTCTGATCTTCCGATCGCTACGTAGAAAACAAACTCCTCGAAAATTATAAAAGGAAATTTCGACAACCTAACGGAATTGTGATTTTCTAGAAAAATCTGGACAATTAGAAGTTATGAAGAACGTACTTAATTATAAAAAGTCCATTTTGGAAAAAATAAAAATCATGTACTTTACTTAATACTCAGACATTGCGATGCGATATTTACAGATGTTTGAAGTCTGGATATAATTTTCCCATGTCTACCGATCTACAGGATCTACATGTCTACCGATCTACATGTCTACCGATCTACAGACTTGGGGCAAACTACCTTGCTCTAGAGATCTATTTGTTCAAAAGATGTATCTTTCTAGGGGGGGGCCGGAATCCAAATAAAAGTGTCGGGGATGCTCATCCGAAAATTCCAATTAAATCCCAAAGGGAGACCAATGAGGGTGTGGCTCAAGCTTAAACTGACCCCTAAGAGAGATTTCTGTTTGGTCAGTGTCAGGGCATTTTTTGTAAATTATTTTTTGATGCACGGTACTGAACGATACCTGAGTGGGTAAATATAGTGACTTTCCATCCCAAACACCCAAAGCGAGACGATGAGCATCTCATACGGGAGCTCCCCCAGGGATATCTTTAAGGTAGCGTAGTAGCAATGACTAAGCGTAAGGTCAAGATGGCTGGATATTGGCCTCGTTCGTTTTGCGTTTTTACAGACCGAGACAAAGTCGACATTCATAAAAAGCAAAAATGAATCGGGCCAATAGGCCGCCATCTGACGAAACAAGCTTGATCCGAATAAAGAATGAATTATTTGGCCAAAAAGAAAACTTTTTCTTGCGGGACCAACGCGGGAAATCCCTGGCGGGCAAGGAAAGCCCATCTTGGCCACTTTGGTAGCTAATTAGAACAAGAAACTCGTTTCATCTTGCCCGCTCGCAGGATGCAGAGGCTACGGGCAGAAAAAAAATTAAAGCCAAGGAACCATTGTTTCAACAGGCTTAATCCTGATCATTGGACTTCTTGGCAATGGAATCGTGCTAGCAGTAATCTCAAACTTGCGCCGGCGAGGTCACAAAACGTCCGTTCAGCTCTTCCTCGTTAACTTGGCCGTCTCAGATCTGATGGTGTGTTTGCTGTGCATTCCCCTGACCATCTTTGTAAATTTTTATTACCCAAATAAAATAGCCAAAAGAGAGGTTGGTTTCTGCAAGCTGGCACGAGTTATGCAGGTATAGATTTTAATTTACATTGTTTTAACTGTAACGATTTCAGAGGACCTGGTGAACTAATAGGCGTCGACACCACTAATCAAGCAAAATAATTAAAATTAATGTTTCAGTGAAAACAGTTAAGATCAAAGCTGTTTAATCTAGCTTGAATAATGTTCCCAGGGCACCAGTTCCAGGGGCGGATCTAGGGGGAGGGTGCAGGGGGTGCGCACCCCCCCCCCCGAGATGACCTGCGGTTTCCTAATAAAACTGGTATTCTGCAAAAAAAAAAACTACGTGGTTTATTGGTGTTGAAGTACAGCAAGAGACGAGTGCACCCCCTCCTAAGAAAAATCCTGGATCCGCCCCTGACTTCATTTCTTTGCTAACGACGCACGTCAGCCAGAACTGCCCTTTTTGCAATCATTAGCAGTAATCTCTCGCCTAAATGTTTTGGCAGGTCCTCTCTACAAGAGCCAAGACACTAAACATTACAAATTTCAGCGTCAGCAACGTCAAGAATTAAAAGGGAAAACCGCAGCGCACCTCACTTTCCTTTGACGTGATTGACCAAAACGCTTTGTTTAAACTTCCACAATTATGCCCAGACGAAGAAAATAAGTAGTTGAACCAGTCAGAGACAACAACCGGAACTTTCACCTGCGCCCACTGAGGAAACATCAGTAACAATAAACGTGTCTTTTCCTGTCTTCAAGAAAAGTGCGATTTTATTTGTTGCTTATTAATATGTGGACATGTCCTTGATGCAAGGTTTACCCTAGATGATATTTTGCTGGATTATTCCTGACGAATCCGAAACGTTTTGGTATCGGATTGGTTTGGTCAATAAGTCAGCAGATTTTAAATCGGAAATCTAAAGCCGAATGTTTTGTTCAGAGATTACTGTTCAACGTTTTGTAGTGTAAGTAATTCTTCCAACGAACCCGGATACAGTTTTCCGCTAGTGATCATATGAGTTGACGGTAAAACCAATTGAGAGGAAAATGACGGGCGTAAAAGTTCCCAGTTGAATGTCTCTGGATTTATCGATGTCGGCAAACGCTGGCGAATCCAGTAAAATACCCTGAATATATTCAATGTGAAAACACTTATGAATGCAAAAACCACTGGCCTCCAGTGCAAACCTTGCCTGTTATTTTACTGTACGAAATATGATAATATATACGACTTTTCGTATCTTCTTCACCTGTAGTCAAACCATATCCACAGTATTCAATATTTACTTTATTCCTTTTCCGTAGCACCTTAACCCAGTGATCTCAGTCAGCCTGATGACAGCAATAAGTATTGATCGGTACATGACATTTGTGAAGCAGGAATTAACGTGCATCAATAGAGCTTGGTATCTCAGGCCGGTCTGGTTGATCTTCTTTGCTTGGGTATACGGTACAGTTCAATGCCTTCCGATTTTTTATACAAGCAATTTCATTCCTCTTGATTATAATAACAGCACCATCTACTACTGCAGCACTACGCAAGGCCAGTCTCTTGTTGGGAAGATTTACCTCGTTGCCTCAGTCTTACTTGGGTTCGTGATACCTTTAGCAGTCTTAACTATATCATATCGCAGAATTATAAAAGTGATATCGACCAGGAATCGCAGACTTTCCGCCACTGTAGGGAGTACATCCAATCCCACAATCACAAATGCCAAGTTGCTGGAAAAGTCCAGAAGAAGGGTTCTTCGCGTGTTGGTAATTGTTGTCATCTGCTTTGTCATCTGCTGGTTGCCTTTCGCTGTCTACTTTGGGCTACTGGTGCAGCATCTCAGGGAATTTCCAAACGTTATGGATCTGGTGAGTCTCATAACCTATGGACTGGGCATATCAAACTCAGTCTTTAACCCTTTTATTTACTTCTTCAACGTTTGCGGTAAGTCCTGTCGTTCTATGAGAAGTAGATTTCTTGAGGTAATGGGAAGTAGCCGGGAGAGGACATCACTGGAAAGTGTAGGAACAAGTTCGACCTGTTCAAGGGCCGCCTGCGTAGCCGAACAAGACAAGGACGTAGTAGAGTTAGATGTAAATTCTCCTTCTCCTGTCCGATCAGACATCGATAATACATGTACAAGAGTTGCATTCGTGAACGAACTTGCCGGGTTTCAAGGAGAAGGTCTGGATACCAAGTTCTAAATCACTGCGTGATTGCATCAGTATCGGCTTCATTAAAGATGTTTTGTTACCTAGGTGCTCCTCCCGGCCTGTAAATTTTAACACAGTGCGGCTCTCACATCCGATTGAATTGCATAATATTTCAAAAAAAAAGATAACGTACTTTACCGAAGCGTGGAAATTGTTTTCTTTGGCGGTCATTTTGAATTTTGCGGTCAGCTGGTGCGAGGTCTGGAACCGAAAAATCTTTGGAGCCACTCATAGCATTGGACCTTCCGACAGTTTTCCGACTTGCTCAGATCCGTTCGCAGATTATTCAAATTATTCTTGGTTTCAGGTCCGACCGACAAAATGGCCGCTAAAGAAAACAAATTCTACGCATCGACAAAGTAAATCATATTTATAAAAGAAGAACAAGAAATATATGATGTGATCGAATGTGTGCCTCCTGTATTTTGAATCAATGATGGTCAAGTGGTTAGAAAATAGAATTACAGCAGAAGCCTAAAAACGTTACCGTAGCAGAGCATAAAAATAATTATAATTGTATGATCGATTTCAAATATTTATCCGTTTCTGGTTGGCATTTATCCGCGGGTTAATATTCAAAATCATTTATTATTCAATGATAACCTGCTGACGCTCACCAAATTTGAAAGATACACTGTACCATCATTGACTTCAGTCACTCAGACGAAAATGATTGCCTGAATATCTTATGTGGATAATAAAGCAATAATTGAATTCCGCTTTCCTATCATAATTAGCAATTACTGGATGAGGCTGAGTATGACCTTAAGAATTATGCAGATCGATGGGCCGACGGCCAAGGTCGCTAACACAGTTTGAGATCTGATAATTCTTCAGGGCATACAAAAGCTGCCTTCAATAATCGTTTTATTGTATATTCGCTCAAAATAATCCATAGTTTAAAAACAATCTAAGACATGCGGATCATTACACGTTTCTGGGAAACTGCCCACCGACCCCTCCCCTAAACTGACATTAACACTTACTTCTCACTTAGGGTAGGGATAGGTGGGCAGTTTCCAAGAAAAGTATAATTGCTTACCTTAATCGATGTTGAGTTCCCGTCTGCATTTGCCTGTTGGTTGGCAAATTCGGCAGATTAACAGGATTAATGTGGCTGAATTTAGATAGCTGTCTAAACATATCTATTAAACTATATTTGCTTTTACATACACAGTTGGCGGTTTTGATACCAGATAGCAATATCTTTTAAAACTAAACGCCAAAGGTGCCAACAGTCTTCGATAAAACGGGCAGCAAGAACATGCAACTTGTTGCAAAACGCCGAGTGGAAAAGTGATCTTTTACCACCCTCGTTCATACCTGTTAACAACTTCGGTGACTCATTGCAAGGCAGGTTTGATGTGGGTGGTAAAACGCGTAACATCGCTATTGAACTCGTTTGGCAGCAACGTTGCAAAACAAGTTGCATAGCGCTCCAACGGTCGCCATGACTACGGGATAGGTGCAAGGTGCAAGGCGCAAGGCTCCTGTATAGGTGTTAATTATGCAAATCATCAAATCATACAAAGTCAGTCTTCCGTATCTTAATGACTTCTTAAGGTGGCCCGAGCCTATTCATATGCGGGTTGGTTATGTTTTTGAATCGCGTTTTTCGGCAGAAATGATTTTACCGACTTCTATGATTTTTGGCATCCTTAATAAAGAATGGTCGAACGTTAAGAAACTGTTATTTATTTTCTTGTAGGTATAAAAACGTTTGATATATTGGCATCTGTTTAAAACCATATTTTTTACAAAAAATGTCAGCAACTGCGAAACCCTAAGACAGATTTTTCTCTAACTTCAGCAAATGAGCCTCAGAGCTCTCTAGTTTTATATCTGCAAGTGTGAAGTCTATCCTGGGCGTAGAACTCGCTGCACAAATAGCTGGTCAAATTTAACCTTAAAATGCAACAATAACACATTTGTGAAATTTGACGCACAAATAGAGAAAAACTGCCGTGTCTGCAAAGGTATTCGAAAGCCAAAGCTTTATTATTTCAAGAAACTGAGTAATCATAAACCTACGGCGAATACAGTTCGCAATACAAGAAGAACAAATTTATGCTGAATGCGGGGCAAGATTAAAGAACATCTATTTATCAAAGTTACCGTGTATTTGCCCTTCTCTTTATAATTTTCGAATGAAAAATCCCAACAAAGCAAGATATAGCATCTACGGAAATCTCCTGCCTATTTTTAGCACCGAAGATTCCCGTCTTGAGGAGAAATAAAGCCACCAACTCCAGTTCCTCAACCGAACCATTTTCAGCTGCAATGAAAACCCTTGTATCAGGTAATTTATTCAAGCATGTTAGATTTGCCATCACATTCGCACGAGCAGTTTGTCATTGGGGATAATGAAAAGAATAAGAGGATTGTCATATTTTCTTCATCTTTATCCCCAAGTGGCAAACTTCCCGTGCGAATGTGATGTCAAGTCTAAAAAGCTTGAATAAATTACTAAGTACAAGGGCTTTCAGTGCAGCCGAAAAATGTACGGTTAGAAGTACTGGAGTTGGTGGCTTTATTTTTACCCCATAAAAACACCGAAATTTTACTGGAACATCACCGTGGTACTATCACAAAGTCTGGGTTACCTGTGTTTCCCCTGCAATTGAAATGCATGGAAGCCATAAAAGTGGCAAATAACCATCAAACGATGATGCAATCACAATGAGCCTGGCATGCAGTGCAGGCGTATTTTGGACGGGCGAAAGCTGCTTGTTTATGTTCGGCAGCTGTCATGGTACTTTCGCGAGCAAAAACATTTGCGCGCTGAAATAAAACGCCCACACCGCAGGTTACCCCAACCGCAATCCCACGCTCTTGTTTAAAACACAGACTCAAGAAAACTCGCGAAACGCTTTTTCTATTAAAATCTGCCTTAGTTGCATTTCTTTCTCTTTGTTTAAATGGGGGAAACAAAAAAGCAATTAGCACGAAAGTCAGGGATGTCTATATAGATTGACGTAAACCTTGCACTTGGAACAATTGACCATGATGATCCCGTGGGCACTTTTAAACCTCTGTCAGACAGCCTAAAACGCGTTCTGTTGAATTGTTCCGTCTAAAAATAGCGTCCAACCAGCAGAAGTCGATTTCAATTTGTTGTTCCTTAAAACGTTTTGTGCGAAACAACGCAGGGTCATTTCTCTGAGAGACACAGCTTCAAGCGGAAACCGATACTTTCACGTCCAAACTTTAATTTTGCTTATAAAAAAATTTAGAAGCAAAGTTTCATGAGACAATGAATCATACGAAAGAAAGGCATCTAGTCAACACGTACGTTAACAAGCCATGGAACGTTGGAAGTAATGAGTTCGTTTTAGCTGTGACATTGTTAGGTAAGTGCTTGACATATGTACTTTATATGGGTATTAAACCAAATTACTTCGCCTTTACTTAATATATTGTTTCGCTTACCTTTTGATAGAAGCGTTAAAATTCTAAAGTGGTTTCAATAGAGCGGAGAAGTCCTTACGTCACGTTGCCATGATAGCAAAATTTTTGGCTGACAACAAACCGAAAATTCACTTAAAAAGTAAATTCGCAATGTTTCAAACTTCATCGATTTTATTCAGTTTCATTAAATTTGTTAAATGTTGGCGAAATGTTCTGGATTTAATCCGAAAGGACCGAATCTGAGTTAAAAAAAAGAAAAAGAAACTTTTTGTGTTGTGTTTACCTACTTCGCAAAGCGGGCGCGTTAAATTAGGAAGTTTCATGTCGCAATCGTTCATCGACCGCGTGATGCAAGTGCAAAGTTGTTGTTTCGCTAATCTTAACCTATCGGGTGTTATTTTTTTTGCCGTTCTTGTAACTGTCACCGTCGTCGTTGCTTAATCTCGGCCCTATTGTCATCCGGAAATTTGGCTACCACGGTAACTTGACGCCACACTTCTCTTCTCAGTCTATTACAATGAAATTAAGTTATTAAATGAAGCGCTTGGACTCACTGGATACCGGTTTACTTTGCTGCTGGAGTTGGGAAATGCAGTTCCGTCTTTTTGGCCTCCTTTTTGTCGAAATCTTGTTGACCAAATGAAGAGTGACTTTAATCTTTAAAAACAACTGAAAAAATACATTTTTCTGCATTTTTTAGGGGGAACAAAATTGAAATTGAGCTTTACCATAAGTTTTGCATAACGAATTAGAGTCAATTTAGCATCATTTGTTAAATCATTAGGTGGATATAATGCACAGTAAACGGTCGTAGGATGTTCAAAAATAGAAAGGAAAAAGTGGAGGTAGTTTTTCTTCGATCAAAAGTAACGAAACCTTGGAAACTTTCCTCAGAAATGTACATCTCAACTTGTACCAAAAAAATGAGCTTCAATTTCCGAACATGCTCTCAACTATTTATGCTAAACGTTAATAATCTACTTTAGACACTCATTAGAAGCTTTTGGGTCACTTCTGATCTTTTCTCTGATGACCTAGTTATAATCGGAATGTTCTTTTAATAGTACCCAGGAATATGTATTTTTTGGCGAAAAGAAGAAAGGCAAATTTCGAGGACGGATGCAAAATAATTGCGATTTACCAAAGAAATCTTGTCGAGAAGAATATCTAACAACAGACAAAACAACTCTATTTTGGAATCAGAATTAACCCAATTCAGGCCGGGCATTCATTAGCCTGGTTTTCCCTTGCTCTCTCGGTTCCGGGCTTGTTCAGTTCTTCCCTGAGAAGAGAATTTTTTCGCTTGAGAAGCGCAGGATTATATCCCGAACAGCGGCTGGTAATGAAGCCCAGCGAACAACAATCGAGCTCAGGCATTTATAGGCGTCGTAGTATCTTTGTGGCCCTTTAAGGCCCTCCTCTTAAATTTTAAAAAAGCTCTTGTAGATAAGGCCACAAGCTTCACACAGAATAATTGTCAATCATTGCTAACATCTGGGTAAAATTGATTGACAAAATGACGAAATGTGACATCATTATGACTCCATGTTGTTTTATGGCTGAACCCATAGCTTTCCCCAAAATGGCTATAAAGCGGAAAGCATTGCGCTGAAATAGAAACTTGTTTCATAAAATCCTCGTCAAATGATTTAACACATTGATAATCCTAAACAACAGAATTGACGTAATTATGACATAATTAATAATTAAAAAAGAAACTAGAACCATACACCATCTTGGATCTGCCCTTTTAAATTACTAGCAATTTTGCCTCAGTGAAAACCCGTCTAAATCGAGGTAATTGTAAAATTGTAAAATTTTAACACAATGGTTTTAAAAACACAAACTTTGAAATTTAAATATAATTTTGGGGCGACAGTCACTCAAACCCCGTGCAAACGGCCGGACACCACATTGTTGACCAGCAAGTTCCAACATTGTTGGATGTTACATGTTGCGTCCTTTTTCACACTCTGTTACATGTTGTTGACTGTTGCTGGGAGTTGTTACGTTAAGTTTTTACACCGGTCAAACTTTGACGCAACAACTCCAAACAATGTTGCGTCTGTTTGCACGGGGCTTTGAATTGCCGGTTCAACTAACAATAAATGATACAATAAACTTTGTAAAAATTAACACGAAAACTTGATAATCGTACCCACAAATCATATCTTCAATCCCAAATACGACTTGGGAAACAACACGTTTCCTTAAAGAAAAAATAAAAGCAAATGCGACATAATAATGTTTCAACAGGGACAATCTTGTTCATTGGACTTCTTGGCAATGGAATTGTGGTAGCGGTAATCTCAAACTTGCGCCGGCGAGGACAGAAAACATCTGTACAGCTTTTTCTCCTTAACTTGGCCGTCTCCGATCTGATGGTGTGTTTGCTGTGCATTCCCCTAACCATCTTCACAAATTTTTACTACCCCAAAAATATGGCCAGAAGGGATGATGGTTTCTGCAAGTTAGCTCGATTTATGCAGGTAAAAGATTTATTCCCTGTTAAGCTACGTACAAACGGACGCAACAACTCCCAACATTGTTGGCCCTACAGTTTGACCGGTCTCAAACTTTGCAAAGGAACTCCCAACAACACAAAACAACATGCAACAAAGTGTGGAAACGGAATCAGTTAACAATTAGTTCATGCGTCAGCGTTCGTATGTCGAGATATTGAGCACGCGGGAAGTTTGGAGAGCACGAAAGAGGCGTAAGAGTTGCGCCTCGTGCAACTCTAGCCTCTTGAGTGCTCTCCAAACTTCCCAAGTGCTCAATATCTCGACATAAGCACAGCTGCAGCATGAACTAATTGTTTTATAACATTATCAAAGCGATCAATGCAGCAGTTAACTGAAAATATTATTATTATAGGGCGCGCTCAAAGCAGTACGCGTCAATGTTTACGTGAATATATTTTTTTTCCTCACAGTTAATCTTATGTTTTTATCCTGAAACTGAGAAAAAGTGTACTCTAAAATGATTGTAAAATCCATATTAAGGTGCCCGAAAACTATTAATTTACCGAAAAATTGTTATTGAGAGAAAACAACTTTCCAAAGAATGAGCTCACGCCATAGCCCGCACAGTTCGCGGAGATGACAACAACAACAACAACACTCACCTCTTTTCCTTACTATCGGTTAACAAATTCAAACGGTTCCTCTTAAATTTCCTTACAATACACATGGTAAACGCTTCATTGTCTATTGCTGAGTTATGGATGCACTCAGGAGATTCAGGATTGCTAAGCTCACAACAACTCGAGGAATAACGAATAGTTTATTGACGTCATCAGCGTGCTCAATAAGAATATGAAGCACGCTCGCGCTATTGAATTTGATTAGGCGAATTTTCTAGCTATGTTATAACATGTATTAAGGTGGCTCGACTGGATTTTTTGGGGTTGATACCTCCCAACTTTGAGCATTAACTACGTCGGCATGAGTAAAGATATGGAAAAAAGGTTACCACAACTGTATTATATAAAGACGAAAATTTCTTATGATCTGGGTTTTATTCCAATCAGAGTCGCCATGGCAACGTAATGACGCCATTACGTTTTTCATTTACCTTTGTGTTTCTCTGCTCCAGGAGTTTTTTGAAGAAATCGCTTAAGGGAGTATGTACCTGCTATAATTGCCTCCACTATGGCATAGTTTGAACAAATTCTATGAGAGCGTTTTCGAAATATTTTGAAATGTAGTTTTAAGAATAATAAAAACAGTGAAATAGCATGCTAGCCACACAATTCGCTAACATTTTAAGAAAATGATAAGCTTTGGGAACGAGGCTTCATCTCATAGTGGTTTGATTCCATTGAAAACTGCATATGAAAAAAGAGCGGAATTGCTCGGGGCGTCGCGAGTAAGAAGAATTTTATTAACTTGCATTTAGTTGTTTTTGACAAAGTTTTTGGACGTAATTTGGTCCATGCCTAAAAATTTCGCATTTTTCCAAAAACCGCTCGATAAATTTTTGTATAAATTCGATAATCCCGAGATCAATCGTCAAGAAATATTCCCTGCAAGTTTTAAGAACATTGAAAACAGGGAAGGCTTTTAAATAGGGCCTCAGATATAGCCAATTTTCCCCCCAGATTTTGTGTTTACAAGTGAGCGTCCTCATTATTCACTGGCATTGTTTTCAAGTTTCATATACACGTGCACATTTAGCAAAACGATAGAACAGGCAATTTGTCTTCAAAAGTTGCAAGCTGTGGTTATAACCTTCTTATTATTTCATTTTCTTGAAGAATACATCATAGTAAAACTGACTTTAACGACATTTACTAATTTCCTTGAGTTGTACTGGAAGTGTGCGTACGTAAATTGCGTGCGTAAGTCCGATTTTTTTCAAGATGCATTCACAAAATGTGTTCATATATGGATGTTCATGGATATATAAGGTCCTGAGCTCCACCGTGGACACAAAAACAAAATATCTTTGTATAATAAACTGCCCAAAGAAATTCAAGTTTGCTCACAATGTGTTTGAAGTCACTGAACTTTGTCGCACTCGTGCTGATATTTTAAAACCCACGGATATTTTAAACCGATCGGACACTTCTAGCTTCGCAGTTCACTAAAATGTAAACAAAAATCCTCAATGTAGAAGTTTTGGCGTTGATATGTGGGCAGAAAACGAGTTAATCTTTATCTAGTAAATCTTCCCCAAGATCGGTTTCAAAGCAACCTTAGCTTTCTGAACTTGATCGTTTCGCGCAGATTAATTTTTTCTTTGTGTTGTCAAGTTGAACATGCATAACACCTGTTAAAAACCTACCCGTAAGTAAGATTTCCTTCAAACAAAGTTAAAGTTACATTAATTATTGCAAAAACTTCTTTCCAATTATGTATAAGATTTAATTACCGATTGAGGTCACTTGAAGGACCATAGACGCCACTTTAAGCTGGCAAAGAGATCCGACAAGCAAAGAACAATTCCATCATGCATAAAATTCAGCTTAAGTGAACTAAAAAAAGCTTCAATAAGATTGCAAAACAACAAATTTTCATTAAAAAAACATAAGGCTTAGGGCTCTTATACCTGATGACAAAGAAGAAGTGAATTTTCTGTACGGAAACAACTTACCTAAAGATCTTAAAAGAAAAAGATCAGTTGCAAGCGTCGCAGCCAAGCCATGATTCCGACTACATATCTAAATAAGCTACTTTTTTTAGTAATAACTGGTCCATGCGAGAGGCTTCATTCAAGCAAATTAAACTCAGCAAACTGAATCACTAGAAAATACAGAAAACTGCACAGAAGGATTTGTTTTGATCGCTTCAGTCAAATCCAGCTCCAGCAATTGTTTACGGGCAAAGAGTCGATTGTTTTGGAGTCACTGCCGGCAGTTGTCGTTCTCCGCTACTTCCAAGCGAGAGAAAGGAAAATTTGCGTACAGAAAGATAACAAAACTATGTAATTAAATCTGAAAAAACTAAAGGAAAAAAACTCTGACTACTATTACTTGAGCAGCAGAAAAATGATGGAAATAGTCTTTTCTTCTCGAGTAAGCTTGCTGGCCTTCTAAAGTTCCGAGGAAGTTTTAAGCGCTCAAGTTTGTTCACTCGCAAGCGTTAGCGTTACGGTCCTTTGACATAAGACAAGGATAAAGCTTGTTCTGCAAAGGTAAATAAATCTGGGCATTTAAAAAAACTAACCGTAACTGCTAATAACAGAATACAAGCGGGTTGTAATTCAGTCCGGCGAAAGATGGCGAAGCACTGGACAAAAAAATAAATTCACAAATCAAATGCACAATTATCAGAAAAATACAAACCTCTTTGGAAATGTTCAAAACGTTTTATTCCTCCTCAGACTGACGAATGATCTGTTTTTACTGTAACATTGGTTGTTCTGAATCCAAAGTAATTTTCAAGTGACGAAAAAACAACAAGAACAACAAAAACAAAAAAAAGCATTTACAAGGAGCAAACGTTCGCACCTCGTGTATTTCATTCAGTCTCAGTCAGAACTCTCACAGAACGAGACAAACAAACGCAGGCGATAAGGGATGCGCAGAAGCTTGCGCAGAACGTTTTTCCGCCCTGAAAGACCAACATTGACGTCACGTAGTCTCCAGTCTATCACGCGGCCATTTCAGAAACGTTTTCGTGAAGTTTTCGGAAATGCTCGGATTTTGATCTTTTATCCTTCTATAAAGGCTTGGGAAGAAAAATCTTTACCCAAATCTCACTTAGGATGGTTCTTTTTAGTGTTCGGTGAAGGTAAAGCGACACAGGAAAATATGTCAATTTTTTGGTTCATTTGACCTTTAAAGGTGATGTAACATCCAACAATGTCGGAAGTTGTTGGCCGTTTGCATGGGGCTTAAACTTGTTCTCGCAAAGGCAAAATAGTCCAAGAGCGCTATGATTTTGGGTTTGTGTGGTTGTTTAATTTAGTTTAGTATTTACCAAATCAGTGAATAACAATTTTCGCTCGTTTTGATTGGCTGCCGTAACTCGCAATATCCTTGGCTATTGACGTGTTGAATTTACAAAAACGTTACTTTTTTTTCATTTTTATCCGACTGATTTGGTACATACTAAAACAACTATCCCCCTCAGGGTCGGTGAACAACGCTAGATATATACGCCTCGACGCTTCGCGTCTCGGTATGTACCCCTCTATTCACATTCTGTAATCTATTTCTTTTCCGCAGCACCTCAATCCAATAATCTCAGTCAGCCTGATGACAACAATAAGTATTGATCGGTACATGACATTTGTAAAGCAGGAATTAACTTGCATCAATAGATCTTGGTATCTCAGGCCAGGCTGGTTGATCTTCTTTGCTTGGGTATACGGTACAGTTCAATGCCTTCCGATTTTTTACACAAGCAATTTCATTCCTCTTGATTATAATAACAGCACCATCTACTACTGCAGTACTACACACGGCCAGTCTCTTGTTGGGAAGATTTACCTCGCTGCCTCAGTCTTACTTGGGTTCGTGATACCCTTAGCAGTCTTAACTATATCATATCGCAGAATTATAAAAGTGATATCGACCAGGAATCGCAGACTTTCTGCGACTGCAGGTGACATATCCAATCCCAAAATCACAAATGCCAAGTTGCTGGAAAAGTCCAGAAGAAGGGTTCTTCGCGTGTTGGTAATTGTTGTCATCTGCTTTGTCGTCTGCTGGTTGCCTTTCGCTCTCTACTTTGGGCTACTGGTGCAGCATCTTAGGGAATTTCCGAACGTTATGGATCCGGTGCGCCTCATAACCTATGGACTGGGCATATCAAACTCGGTCTGTAATCCTTTTATTTACTTCTTCAACGTCTGCGGCAAGTCCTATCGTTCCATGAAAAGTAGGTTCCTTGAGGTATTGGGAAGGAGGGAGAGATTATCGTCGCAAAGGGTAGTAACCAGGTCCTTGTCTTCAAGGTCCGCCTACGTAACCAAACAAGAAAAGGAAGTAGAGGAGTTGGAGTTACTTTCTGTTGTCTAATTAAACATCGATAACACCAGAATTGCATTCGTACACGCGCGAACTTGAAGAGTTTCAAGGAGAGGTTCTGGATACCAAGTTCTAACTCCGTAAATCACTCCATCATAGCATGGTTGCAACAGTATCGGCTTATAAAAGACGTTTCCCTTACCTACTGTAGGTTCTCCTCCCTGTCCGTAAATCTTTTCCAACCTCGTTCCCAGGTTCTCTCTCCGGAGAGAACCCTGGGAACGAGGTTGATTCTTTTCTTGCACTTTGTCGCACCACGTAAGGGAATCCGGATTCCGGAATCTTGGAAATATTTGCTTGTAGAATCCGGAATCTTGGGCCTTGGAATCCGGAACGCCATTAACGATTGGAATCCGGAATTCAAGTTCCACTGAAAAAGATTTCGAATCCAGTAGTTGGAATCTGGAATCCACGGGGTGGAATCCAGAATCCAAGACTGTCTTGGAATCCCTTACTTGGAGCGAACTCTGTTTAAAAGGCGAAAACAAGCAAACCGACCAAGAAAATGGTTAAAGGCACCAAGATCAGAAGAACCACTATAGATTAACATTTTCTATTCTACTATCAGCGGTTCAGCGCTCAGAAATAAATTAAAACGTTTGAAAGGGACAACAATTCTGATACTATAGTTAGCATCCTGGATTTTTTAAAACGTAGCTAAAGAAATTTCAAGTGCATTTTAACTATTTGACATCTAAGTGGAATGGGAAGCAGTTAAAAGTCACTAGCTGAAGCTAAACAATGAGCTGAACAATGACAGCATTATTGCTGGCAATAGACGATAAAGTTCTCTAGCACAAGTAATAGGATTTTGCGATGAAATAAACAACATTTAAAACGTCGAGAAATTGTAATCTTTTAGTCAGTCAAACCGCGAGGCCCACAACTCAGTGTCGGCCGAAAACAGATTAAGAATCCACAATCTTTGAGCACATAATAGGCTTACTAAGAGAAAATCACCCAAAATAAACACTCACGAAGCGTTTTTATGTTTGGCACTGAAAGTATTCTGGTAACACGAGGTCAACCGCACATACCTGAGATTTGTCTGTCACCACTTTCGGTAATCACACGATAAATGACTTTCACGGCAATCACAACACTTCCCAAAACCACTCTTCCACACTTAACACGGGCGAAACATCGTCAAATTACTCTGTAAAACGCTCGCTTTCTCCACATAAATCGTAACATGGAACTTTTCTCGACTCACTGACAGTCGATTTATTCAAGATCCCGGAAGTAAACCAGGGGATGAAAAGGAGACATAAAGCCCCCGCCCTCCACACAATTTTTTACTAAGTCTCTGGCCTGGTCAGAAGTCAGCATGAATTTCCATCTTGCCAAATAGATTTCAACCCTAGAACATACTTTGTTTGGTCAAAGACTTGTTACTGCCAACAACAAAGCTCGCAATATCCAATCTTTCGTCTCAAGCCCGGGATCAGTCTTTCTCCCGTGTAGCCCGAAATGAGACGAAATACCAGAAGATATTGGACGCGGCAGACTTTGCCAGACGTGAGAATTGTTCCTTCATAAGGCTTAATGATGCCTTACGGAAAACTTTGCTCAAGGCAGCCAAAACAACTCTAAGACAACCCACAATAAGAGCCGAGTTTATTCTAATACGCGCGCTGATTTCAAACTGACATACAGAGAGAATTATGGGAAGTTATGAAAAACCTTTTGTTTTTTGGGGTTGAGGGGGGGGGGAGTAATAGGTTGATAACCAGTGAGAAACTCATATCAAAGTCTATCTACTGTGGCCTATTCGGTACCGATTAAATAAATAAAAAGTAACAATGGAAAAAAAAATCCTCCACTACAAGACTCAGTCAGAAGGTATATAAGAGAGATTTCTGTAGCCATGTTTTTGCAAATCTAGACAGATATATATGTTGTGGTTCAATTTTATCCTTGGTTGAAATTTTATTTTCCTTTGTTACAAACTCATTATCATATATAACCATCATACCCATAAACAAAGGAAAATAAAATTTAAACCAGGGACAAAATTGAACCACAACATATATATATATAAAACAACAACTATATGATGTGATCGAATGTGTGCCTCCTGTATTTTAAATCAAAGATGGTTAAGTGGTTAGAAAATAGAGTTACAGCAAAAAGCCCATAAAAGTTACTGTAGTAGAGGATAGAAATAAGTAAAATTGTATAATCGATTTACAATCTTTATCCGTTTCTGGTTGGCATTTATCCGCGGGTTAATATTCAAAATCATTTATTATTCATAACCTGCTGACGCTCACCAAATTTGAAAGATACATTATACCATCATTGACGTCAGTCACTCAGACGAAAATGATTGCCTGAATATCTTATATGGATAATAAAGCAATAATTGAATTCCGCTTTCCTATCATAATTAGCAATTACTGGATGAGCCTGAGTTCGACCCTAAGAATTATGCAGATCGATGGGCCGACGGCCAAGGTCGCTCACACAGTTTGAGATCTGATAATTCTTCAGGGCATACAAAAGCTGCCTTCAATAATCGTTTTATTGTATATTCGTTCAAAATAATCCATACTTTAAAAACAATCTAGGACATGTGGATCATTGCACGTTTCTAAGAAACTGCCCACCAACCCCTCCCCTAAGCCGACATTAACACTTACTTCTCACTTAGGGGAGGGGTAGGTGGGCAGTTTCTCACAGAAAAGTATAATTGCTTACCTTAATGTATGCTGAGTTCCCGTCTGTATTTGCCTGTTCCTTGGCAAATTCGGCAGATTAACGGGATTAATGTGGCTGAATTTAGATAGCTGTCTAAACATATCCATAAAACTATATTTGCTTTTACATGCACAGTTGGCGGTTTTGATACCAGATAGCAATATTTTTTAAAACTAAACGCAAAAGGTGCCAAGAGTATTGAAGCTTCGGTAAAACGGGCAGCAAAAACATGCAACTTGTTTTCCAATATTGCTGCAAAACGCCGAGTGGAAAAGCGATCTTTTACCACCTTCGTTCAAACCTGTTAACAACTTCGGTGACTCATCGCACGGAAGGTTTGATGAGGGTGGTAAAACGCACAACATCGATGTTCAACTCGTTTGGCAGCAACGTTGCAAAACAAGTTTATGCCTGTTTTACCGCACCTTAAGGCTCCAGCTGCTTAAAGGGGCTATGTCACCCAACACGCATGCGCGAGCCAATGAAAACAAACTTGAAAAAGACGGCCCAACTTTTTCAAGTTGTGTCGGAGATTTTTGAAGGCTGTTTTTATCTGTCTAAATCTCAGCCATCGTTCGATAGTTAGCGAAGTTTTCTATTAAGAATCGTTCTATGGTGATTACAGAACAATTTTTTGGCGTTATTTTAAAATTGTTTGCCTGTGGAATGTTTTTACGTGGATTTACTGTGTCCTCTTATCAGCGGCCGTTGTAATGGCAGAGTTAATGACGGCTACTCCACAATGAGTGATGGAATCTTTGATGGAATCTTCCCTATAGTTCACAGGACCTTTCTATTGAGTTATTTTAGAGGCTGCTGGCTCTTGGATTTTTCTTGTGCTCAAAGTATGTGGACATATAATGAAGCGGCTATCGAGTTGGCGGCGGCCGTTTTTTGTAAACGATTACAAGAGCATCATGCCATGAGTTTCGTGACGAAACTAAACTCCTGGCGAAGGAAACATTCTAAAATTCGGCTAGATTCCTTCTTGTATTTATCTCGATTCACGGCAAAGATAAACACGACCGTTTGCTCGTCCAGATTGTTCTCAACGGACTTAGAGAAGCACCTTAGTACGAGTTAGATCCTGTAAATGCCATGTTTTTGAACTGTTTGTGTTCGAGCATAATTTTGGAAAATAGCAGAGTTTACTTTCCCTTTTTATCAACGGACTGCTATTTTATGAATGGCATGCGTTTTTACTTCAAAACTACAAGTAAAATTGTCGTCACAATTTTATTCTTGATCTAGCATAACCAGAGAAGAAACGTTCCATAAATTCTATCGAAATATCCCTTATCCAAACCCATTTCGCTTGTTAACCTCTCTAAATTCGGAACCTTGGACGTGACAGAGAACATGAAGAAAGTCACGCGTTAAAAACAATAGAATTTTGACAGTTGAAAGTAATTTGCATAACCTCAGAGCGCACATGGAGAAAGTCACGCGTTAAAAACAATAGAATTTTGACAGTTGAAAGTAATTTGCATAACCTCAGAGCGCATGCTCTCCAGCTGACATAGCCCCTTTAAATGGAGGGAAAGGGTTGCTAGGTCCTTGGCGCCCCAACGGTCACCATGACTACGGGATAGGTGCATGGTGCAAGGCTCCTGAAAAGGTGTTAATTAGGCAAATCATCAAATCATACAAAAGTCAGTCTTTCCTTCTTCCCGTACACGTTGTACATCTTCCCTTTGGACTATATTGCAAGACATCATGAACTCGAGTTTCACCCACGCCAACGACACCCAATTTAACTTTGCTTTAAGGCCCATTACAGCCGAGCAACAATCATCTTTAGCACGAAAAGAACCATGTGCGAGTCATGTCGATTCCTGGTTGGTCCGAAACAAACTGAAGGTAAGCAGGGGAAAAACCAAGCTTCTTATTCTGAATGCCAGCCATCGCCCACGCCCGCCTATTGAGGCTATCCAAGTGTCCAGTGAACGAATAATGCTTGTGAGTTCCGCTAGGAACATCGGAGTCGTCTTCGATCAAGAAATGACTCTCGTCGAGCACGTCACTACCATAATTTTTATTTAAAACTTTTTTTCTTCATCATAAGAATATAGCTAAGATAAGAGACAGTCTCTCACAAAAAGACACTTATATCCTAGTTCATGCTTTTATTTCCGGGCTCTAAATTAGATATTTGTAATTCATTACTCTATGGCCTTCCTCGATATCTGATTGATCGTCTACAAGCTGTCCAAAACTGTGCTGCACGCCTTGTAACTCGTTCCAGGAAACATGATCATATCACGCCAATTCTCAAACAGTTATACTGGCTTCCTGTGTACAGCCGTATCAAATACAAGATACTTCTGTTAACCTTTAAAGCCTTACATGGGTTAGCACCTTCCTATATAACAGAAATGTTGCAACCCTATAGATCATCAAGAAGCTTAAGATCTGCCTCTAAGAGGCTCCTGACAATACCATCAGCAAAATTGAAGAAATATGGCTGTACATCATCCTCATTTGTAGCACCTACAATTTGGAACTCACTGCCAGAACCAATACGTAATCATAATGACATTTCAAAATTTAAAACTTCTATAAAGACTTCCTTATTCAAAGAACATTTTAATTAAAGTTCTGTTAGAATAATGTACATAGTGTGAATATTGCGATAAGAATTTTAATTTTTAATCCTTACTTTAAGTTTTAGATAACAATTTTTAACTTCTATTTTTATATATTTGTATTTTAATATTGATGTAAATTTTTCAATGTACAAAATTTTCGGTTTGAAATATTCAGTTGTTAAGCGTCATGCATGAGCCTACGGATATGGCGCTATGGAAATCGTTATTATTATTATAATTATTATCGTCCTACGCTACTCTGCGGATGAGTGACCGGAGAGCCGGAAAATCATAATAGGGGTAGCGATGAAAGAAGTTGTGGACG